TTTCCCACCACGCTAATATCTTTTAGTGCCATTAATATACAGAAATATATTGATCGCTGCCTTGAACATACTCAATGTTTGAGGTTCGTCAGTCCTCTGGGTCATCACTCCCTCCAAACTCTGTGGCTGCTCTAAAGTTCCACACATGGCAATTGGTATCAGCATACCAATTGTGAAATTGACCTCTGTTTCTGGTGGTCCCTACGCTGCGTGGAGCTCCGAGCCCCACACGGCTGGAAAGAAACTTTGAGGGAACGCTGTTCTGGGGCAGAGAATTTCAAAGATTTACCACACTGTGAGTAAAGAACTTTCTCCTCAACTCAGTCCCGAATGGTCTGTCCCTTCTCCTGAGACCGTGTCCCCTAGTTCCAGACTCACCATCCTTCCTGCAGCACCCTGTTGAGCCCTAAAAGTTTCAATGAAATCACATCTCATCCTTCAGATTGCTGGGGAATACAGATCCATTTCCCCCAATCTCTCCTCATAAGACAATCCTGCTTTCCCAAGAATTATTCTGGCAAAACCCAATTGCACACCATTTATGGCAGGCATATTCTTCCTTGGGTAAGGAGGCCAAAACTGAGCACAATGTACTTGGGGCAGCCTCACGAGGGCTGTACACAACGGCAGCAAGACAATGGAAGGAAAAAGCAGCAATCAATTTGTACTCAGCGAGCTCCGACAAACAGCAATGTGATAATGACCTGGTAAATGGTTAAATGGAAACAAATATTCGCCAGGGCACCATAACTCACATTCTGACATTTCAGACAGTGAGCCTGAGATCTTTTAACACCACTGGAGAGGGCAGACAATGTTTTGGTTTAACATCAGAAAAACAGTGCATCCGTCAGTACTGCACTGGAGAACCAGTGAGGCTTCTATGCTCAAGTTTCCAGAAGACGCTTAGTAATCACAACCTTCTATTACAGACATAGCAATGATATACAGAAAATAAGCATTCTCTCATTGAAGAACAAGTTTTTGAAGAACTAAGTTTTTCCTAATTCTTTCATGGGATGTGGGTGTCACTGGCTAGGCCAGCATTTGTTGCTCAGCCCTAATGTCTCTTGTGAAGCTGGTGGCGAATTGCTTCTTGAACCACTGCAGCCCATGTGCTGTAGATAGATATTTTTGTTTCCAAAGCAGAAGGTTGCAAGTTGAGTTCCAACTCCAGACCTGAAGCGTAAAAGTCCAGGCTGACACAGTTGTGGGTGCCATCTTTCAGATGTAATGTTAAACCAAAGTGCTGCCTGCCCTCTCAGGTGGGCACAACAAATCCTGGGCTACAATTTTGAAAAGCAGGGATACGATCCCTAGTACTCTATCTAAAATTTTTCCTTCAATTAACATCACCAATAACAAATGCAGATTACCTAGCTGTGATCACATTTGCTATTTTGAGAGCTTGCTGTGCTGCAATCTTTCTAAAGGCTAATCATAGAATCCCTACAGGGTGGAAGCAGGCCATTTGGCCCATCAAGTCCACACCAACCTACCCTATAACCCTGCATTTCCCATGGGTAACCCACCTAGCTTACACATTCCTGAACACCATGAGCAGTTTAGCATGGCCAAACCACCTAACCAGCACACCTTTATGACTGTGACACAGAAACTGGAGCACCTGGAGGAAACCCACACAGACTGGGAGAGAATGTGCAATCTCCACACCTGAAGGTGGAATCAAACCTGGGTTTCCTAGCACTGTGAGCCAGTAGTGCTAACTGCTGAGCCACCACACTGTCCTAACAGTGTTCATGCATCAACAGGTGCTTCATTTGCCATGAGGGGCTTTGGGGTGTTCTGAGTTCATGAAAGGTGTGACAGAAATGCAAGTCTTTCTATTCAAGTGCCAAATACAGCACTTCAAACAGGAAGAAAAGGCACAACACTGGATATTTGAGTTACACTTTGGTAGAGCCTGCTGATTTTACAATGTAGCACTGGGGCAAAGTGAATGGGACATGAGCTGTTGGGTTGGACATTGATATGTTAGAAACTTGATCATTCAAGGATTATGCGGAAAGGGCAGGAAAGTGGACTTGACCCGAAATGTCAATTTTCCTGCTCCTCTGATGCTGCCTGGCCTGCTGTATTCTCTCTGACACCAGCATATGCAGTTCTTACTATCTCTGGAAATACCATGATCCTACTGAATGATATAGCAGGCTCCAGGGGCCAAACAGCCTAGTCCTGTTCCTATTTCTTATGGTCTTAAGTTGGCCGTTCAGCCCATCAGGTTTGTTCTGCCATTCAATGCAACCATACTGATCTGATAATCCTCAACTCCACTTTCTTGCCTTCGCCTCTTGATTGCACACTCCTTTTCATGTTTCTCAGGGTCGCATCCCTTTCTAATTCATATGCGAACCATTCTGAATTGACCAAAGGCAAAGGGGGCGGGGCATGCAGACTGTGCCATTCCAACAACATCAAAGGAGGGAGTGATTTCAGAATTATATCCCTTTGTACATTCCCTTTGTATAGCAACTAATTTGTAAAAGTTTTGAAGCGTGTAAAGAAATTCTAACTTGCATGGTAAGGGCTAGCCAGTGCGGGCTGGAAGCAGCTGGTTGAAGTACAATTTGAAGGCTCCCCACTTTTTTTTAACAATAATGGTTTCCCTCGGCTATTAAAGGAACGAGCGGTCCAAACGATAGGGTCTCGTTTTCTTTGCACCCCTTATATTTTTCTGTTTTATTTTAAAAGAAAGGTGCTGCCAAAAAAAAAGACATACTTCTGTGCAATCTGCAGGATTGGAACGTGAAAAGACCTATCCGACTCTTAATTTGATTCGGAAGGCAGAAAATCAGAAGGAGAAAAATGAAGACAATTATTGCAGCCCACTCAGGCATCTTAAGAGGTAAAGGCAGATCTTTATACGACATAGCTTTTTGTCTATGCTTTTTCTCTCATCAGTTTTTAGGTGCCTTTAGTAAATGTCACAGCAACTCGCATTCTCATACATTGGAGTTCATTTAATACCTTTGATGTCTAAAGGTATATGGGATAGTGATGACTGGGAACAGGAATGTTCAAAGTTTCAAAGTAAATTGAAAAGTTAGATCGGAATTTAAAGCCGTGTGATCGCCAATCGTTTAAAACGCTGTGCACTTTTTTTTCCCCCTTTTATAAACTAACTTGAGAAGTTAGTGGAGGTGTTAGACTCCTTTATGTACCTCGAGTGCTTTGTTCGCCCGGCTACAGAGTAGGAAATTGGAGTAAAAACATTGGAAAATTGGAGTACAGTGGGTGACTCGTTAAGTAACCTCTTGCTGTTCTCTAAACTTACTGTGCTTCTGTGAAACTTGACCAGCGAGAATCTAGATCAAAAATGCGTGTTAATTATCCCAACTCTGCTCTGCACACGTCTGCAAGTGAAACGCTTGTTTATCTATTTCAATACAAATATCAAAAAGAAAGTGCAATTGACTGCAACTAGTTACCAGATCTAACAGGATTGAATCCTATCTCCGTTCTTCAATTTCTTGACGGCTGTTTTCAATTGCCTGAAGCCTGCCTTGTCTTCCAGTTGGTCAAAGTTTAAAAGTTGTCACATCCTCTCAGTCAAAAGACCAAATCCCACTAACGAGCACAGAAATAAGAGATAACAAGGTGTAGAGCTGGATGAACACAGCAGGCCAAGCAGCA